CTGGCAGGGGGAAGTTGGTCGAAAAGGTAGTACCTTTTGTTATCGTTGAGAATTAGTGGATTTGGAGGGAGGGTGGATTGAGTCTCCCTGGAGGAACAGTGTTGAATGGTAACAGTATAAGTGCAGAGAGTTTGAGAGATGTTGCGTAGGTATGGGCCTGGTTTCTGGGAGAAGCTCTCAATACAGAGAAAAGCAGGGGGAGAAAGGGTGGTATCCAGGATTATGCCCTGGAGATCGGTGGTAGGCTTCTGGGGTTGTAGAGACTGAGAGAACTGATTGAGGGCCTGTTTGGGGGATACTCCCTCCTTGAAAGGAGCCGTGTCAGTGTACGGTGGAGGTAAATGTGAAATTTAAGTGATGCCGCAGGGATGGCCTGGCCTGTTAGGGTAGGTGCAGTGCATAGAAAACAGTTAGTGAGATTGTGCTTCTTAGCCGTGGGCTGGAGTAATTCTGAGGTGGCCAAAGGTGTGGTATAGGAAGGCATGTGGAGAACTAAGAACAGGTAGAATAGGAGGTTATAGTAATAGGGAGGTGTCATTATAAGTACATTTCCCGACATGGTTCCAGCCCTTTGGTAGAGTGCAGTTATCACTAAGGGCACAGGAGATGATGAGTGTAAGCTACTCGAATATCAGTATAAGGGCTGCCTGAGTATTTCAGGGTTGTTCATAAGTTAGTATTATCTGATTCCCCTAAAGGGAAAAGAATTTGCCCCTGGAGACCTAGGACCCACTGGATGTATTCCCAGGGGTAGTCCGAGTCCCCCTGTAGGAAGCAATCAAAGAGATGAAGAGCGCTATGGCTTTTGAGGGGTCGGTGCTGTTGGTAGGGCCTGGAGAATCTGGATGTTGACAGGAAGAGGAGTTGGGTCTGTATGTGAGGAGGTCGGGGTGTGGGTTACTCATCTCTTTCTGGAGACGGCTCGGGGCTTTCTACTATCTGAGACAGCGGGATGGTCGTGGGTCCTGTTAGGATGGACCTGTAGGGGAGAATAGTGGAAGTAGGCTCCTGCCCATTTGAGGGCTTTAGGTGAAAGAGACGGACCCAGGAGGGGATTCCTTGCAGCTTTGCCATGATGGGGGCAGTGAGAAGGATGAGATATGGTCCTTTCCATCTAGGCTTGAGGGGCTCCAGGTTTAAGTATTTTAATAAAACCCAGTCTCCAGGTCTCAGTATGCACTCAGTTGGAACCGACTTCTGGAGTTGGGGTGAGGTGTCATTTGTGTAATCTCGTAGTAACTTTGACTGGGGCTAAGGTTGGTATGTAGCCCCCTGGGGCTGTAGGTTCTGAGGCCAGAAAGGGGGCTAAAGTGAGTGGTCGTCCATACATGAGTTCAAACGGACTGAGGAAGGTCAGGGCCTGGGGGTTGCCCGAATGCACATGAGGGCAATTGGGAGTAAATTAGTCCAGGGTTCTTTTACCTCAAGAGAAAGTTTTGTTAGATGTGTTTTGAAAATGGAGTTCATTTTTTCTACCTTTCCGGATGATTGAGAGTGGAAGGGTATGTGAAGGTTCCAGTGAATGCCGAGGGACTGAGTAATTTTTTGGGTAATTTGTGATATAAATACTGGCCCACTGTATTGAGCTGGGGGTTCCGAAGCAGGGCATTATGTGCCCTAGGCATGGTGTGACCTCTGAAGATTTTTCAGATGTTGTCGGGAATGCCTCTACACAACCCAAAAAGGTGTCTATTACTGTGAGAACATATTTGGTTTTCTAAACTGGGGGCATGTGTGTAAAGTCAATTTCCCAATCCTGGCCTGGGAGATATCCCCTGGCCTGGTGGGTAGGGAAGGGGGGTGGTTTAACCTTTCTCTGAGGAGAGACTGAGTAGCAGATGGAGCACTTGCGAGTCATGTCTTGAAGAATAGAAGAGAGGTTGGGACAAGAGATTAGGGACTTTAGGAGTTGTAGAAGGGGTCTGTAGCCTAGGTGTAGCGAATTGTGGATGGTTTCTCGCATGAAGCGTTCTTGTTTTCATGGGAGTACATATCTGCCCTGGAGGGAAAGCCAGGGGTCCTCCAATACAGCCCCCGCTGCTAGTAAGGATTGCTTCTCCTCAGGGGAGTATGAGATGGAAGTATTGGGGATTATTAACATCTGGGTGGCAGGAGCTTCCCTCAGGGCAGCTCTCTTGGCCTCCTGGTCTACCAGGTTACTGCCCTGAGTGATTCCATGGTTGTCTGGTGTCCCTTGCAGTGAGTAACTGCCGCCACTTTAGGTAACTGCGCAGCCTGGAGGAGTTTTAAGATTAGGGTCCCGTTGTGATTTGAGAGCCCTTTGTGGTGAGGTACCCTCTTTCTTCCCAAATCGCAGCATGCGAGTGGATGATGTGAAATGCATATTTGAAGTCAGTGTAGATGTTCGCTCAGAGTCCAGAAGCTAGGGTCAGGTCTCAGGTTAGAGCTATGAGCTCTGCCTTTTGGGAAGAAGTTCCTCTGGGGAGCGGGCCTGACTCGATGACCTGGGTACACCAGAGGACTGAGCACCCAGCTCTGTTCCTCCCCTCATGGGCGAAGGAGCTTCCACCTATGAACCAAGTGTGTGTGGTGTCTGGAATAGGGTATTGTGAGATATTTGGGAACTAGGGTACTCTGAAGTCAAGAATCTCATAGCATGTGTGAGTCACTTGGGCCTGGGGAACAGGTAGAAGGGTGGCAGGACTTAAGGGAGGGCTCCTTGCTAGTGAGATATGTGGAGATTCAATAAAGAGTAAATGAAATTCCTGGGTTTGGGAAGCAGAGAGTTTGTAGAGCTCTGTAGGAGAGGAGCTCAGATAGGATGTGGGGAGAGTAGACTGATGGGCTGCCCAAAAGTTAATTTTTGGCTTTCTCTGGTGAGTAAGGGCTGCTGCAGCTAGGGTTCTGAGACAGGTGGACCACCCCTTGGCCGTGTTATCAGGTTGTTTTGACAGGTGAGGTAGGCTTGGATGTTGGGTCCACAGTCCTGCACTAACAGTCCTACCGCTACACCCTGTCTTTCATCAGCGTATAATTTGAAGGGGCAGTTGAGGTCTGGGAGGGTAAATGCAGGAGCAGAGAGGAGACCCTGTTGTAAGGCCCTAAAGTGGTGTTGGATGTTTATTGTTGGGTCTAAGGGCTCGGTAAGTTCCTCTTTTGCAGCCTGGTATAGGAGGCGAGCAAGGATGCCGAAGTTGGGGAGCCATATGTGGAAGTATCCAACCAGTCCTAAGAAAGAGAGAAGCTCTCTCTTGGGATGGAGGGAGGTGAGGGAGGCGATAAGAGTTTTCTCTTTTTTGTGGGGAGAGTTAGTCCCAGTAACTGACTTGGGATTGGGATATTTGGGCTTTTCTTGGGGATCCTCGGTAGCCCTTTTCTGCCAAGTAGTGGAGGAGCTTTGACTGTGTGGAGGTGAGAGATGGGGGGGGGCTGCACAGTAGGGGGTCATCTACATATTGGAGAAGAGGGGAGAGGGATACCTCTAGATCAGCTAAGTCGTGGGCCAGGGCCTGGCGGAAGAAATGAGGACTATCCCTAAGCCCTGCAGGGGGGGCCGTCCAGGTTAGCTGTTGGGAGGCTGGGGAATCAGGGTCTGTCCAGGCGAAGGCGAACAGATCTTGCGAGTCAGGGGCTCCCTGAGACCGAGAGCGTGAAGTGTGTGGTGGAGGGTGGGTGAGGAAAAGGAGGGTGTGTGGATTTGGGGGACCGCGGGGTGAACAGGAAGAACTGCCCGGCTAACGAGTCTCAGATCCTGGGCTGGACGAAAGGAGCCGTGAGGCTTCCTGAGGGGAGAATGGGAGAGTTATAGGGGGAGTCAGTAGGTCGGACGGGACCTTGCGAAAGTGAGCGGGTTACAGTAGGTTTTGAACCCCGTGGTCCCCCTGGTGGAATCGGGGACTGGGCTCGGCAGGGAAACTTAGGGTGCGGACGGGACTGTGCTGCGCGGCGATGGAGGGAGTTGAAGTGTCCCAGACGCCGGGGTTCACTAGCGAGGCAGCGAGAGGGAGGGGGGTCTGTAAGGAGGGGAGGGG